GTGAATCCGAACCCATTGTGGTTTATTTTGTCACACATCTTTTCCTGGTAGTCAGAAATTTGAACGTGTACAATATGTCTCCTATGACTTCTCAAGTATATATCTATAGAATAGCGTTATCCGTTTTTGTCATGATGTAAATCAGCAGAAGAAGCTGAGGATGCATCCGTCCATGTATGAAGAAGAGAGACTCAACAATCAACCTGCAGAAAAACTAAGATGCAGCAAAAGGATCCCCGTTTCACCAAAACATGCTCCTTGTCCATGTTGTAACTCATGTTCAACCTCGCATAACAAAGCTGCAACTCATCAGAAGGAAGAAGAAGAGGATATTAGGCCAGATCTTACAAGTGTTGAGGTATCAGTAACCGAAAAAATTGATGACTCGGGGGATCAGCAAACACACCCTGAAGTTTCTGTGGGTCCTCTCCACCAAGCTGAAGTCCCTGAATGGTCAGGGGTAATTTCTGAGAGTGATTCCAAGTGGTTAGGCACGCGGATGTGGCCTCCCGAAGTGGAAACAACAAAATCTTTGGTTGAGTTGGATCCTATCGGGGAGGGAAGACGAAGTTCATGTGGTTGTCGATTTCCACAATCTGTTGAATGCATCAGGTTCCATATCGCAGAAAAGAGGTTTAAATTGAAGCTCGAGCTCGGTCCTTTGTTCAACCGATGGAGGTTTGATCGCATGGGAGAAGAAGTTTCACTTTCTTGGACATCTGAAGAGGAAGAGAGATTCAAAGATATGGTAAGGTCAAGTGCTACCTCGAATAACAAATGGAAGAATTCTAAGAAACTACTTCCATCCAAGACTAGGGAAAAGTTGGTTAGCTATTACTTCAATGTATTCCTTATCAGACGTCGGAGCTATCAAAACCGAGTTACTCCAAAAGAACTCGATAGCGATGATGATGAGATTGAGCTTGGGTCTGTCGGCGACAGTTTTGGTAATATTGCAGTTCATGTACCAAGCTCCAGGTCACTAACATGCGTCGAGAATAAGGTATGTACTGATCTGGAGTAACATATCATGGACATTGTAGCGAGCGTTCTAGTTGATACACACAAATATGTTTTCTTGAATTTAACAAGCAGTTATTTTAACTTGCTTGGCAATTTTGACAGACTAAATGAGTGCAGTTGCTGGCAAGAGCAAATACTACTCAGTAGACTGAAGTGATGATCTTATTATGTAAATATATATCTGAAATATTGCCAAATAGTGCATTGTAAAAGTTTAAACAAGTTGCATATAAGGATTCAAAGATTTTCTTTAATGACGCTTGATTGCTTAAGGGGAATGTCTAATCATATAAGATTAGACAAGATTAGTTAGTTTTGATTACATTCGAGATTGACTGAAGATACAAAATAGCACCACCACGACAACAACGACGACCCAGTGAAATATCACTAGTGGGGTCTGAGGAGGGTAGTGTGTATGCAGACCTTACCCCTATCCCGAGGGGTAGATAGGTTGTTTCCGAACACATAAAGAATTAAATGAAAGAGTGTAGCTTGAGGTAGTTTAAAAAGATCATACAATCTTTCTGATTTATAGCTTGTTTGGCCAAGCTTCTAAAATCAACTTATTTTGCGAAGTGCTTTTTTCTAAAAGTGTTTTTTTTTTCAAAAGTATTTTTAGTGAGAAGCAGTTTATGTTTGACTAATTAATTTAAAAAGCACTTGTGAGCAACAATTAGTATTTGACCAAGTTTATAAAAAGTGCTTCTAAGTAAATTTTTGGCCAAATACATATATAACCCATCCAACTTGGCACCATTTTTTCATTTTGGCACTCTATCTCTACCTTGTTCCATTTTGGCCCTCCAACTCTATTTTATATGTTCCATTTGGCCCTCCAACTCTATTTCTTATGTTCCACTTTAACACAAAAGCTGAAACCAGTGCAAAAAATATAACGCGTGTGTATACATAAATCTAAGGTGTAATAAATATCCAATTAAATGTTGCCACCTGGTTTTTTCATCTATGTCAAACAGGTCAATACTAAAATACCTGAATCCGACTGTATTTTTTATGGGTTTATTTCATCTAAACGGGACATGTATGAAATTAGCAGATGAAAGCTTTGGAATTTAGAGAATGAACATGGGGTAACAGTGGATGAAAAAATACGGTCGGGTTCAAGTATTTTAGTATTGACCTGTTTGACATGGATGAAAAAAATCAGGTGGCAACATTTAATTGGATATTTATTACACCTCAGATTTGTGTATACACACGCGCTATATTTTTTTACACTGGTTTCAGCTTTTGTGTTAAAGTGGAACATAAGAAATAGAGTTGGAGGGCCAAAATGGAACATATAAAATAGAGTTTGAGGACCAAAATGGAACAAGGTAGAGATAAAGTGCCAAAATGAAAAATGGTGCCAAATTGGATGGGTTGTATATGTATTTGGCCTAAACTTTTCTTAAAAGTACTTTTAGGGGAAAACTATTTTTTCTGCTATTTCAAAATTGCTTTTGCATCTATTCAAAATCACTTTTTTTCTTCTAAAAGCTTGGCCAAACACTTCAACTTTTAAAAAAAATATTTTTTTCGAAAGAAAAAAAAAGTACTTTTGGCCTCGAAAAAGCTTGGCCAGCCAAACAGGCTATTATATAACTAGTTTGGATTGGTAGATTTGTATTTATGTTTGATATTTGTTAGGAACCTTTTTAAGTCTGTTTTAGAGAGTAAAAATTGCACGGGGCGCCATTTGGTCGCCCCCATTTAACCTATACCCATTTTTTTTAAACTTTTAACTTGTACCCACTTTTTAAATAATTTCAGCCCCCTTTCTCCTCCTCCTTCATTTTCTTCTTCTTCTTCTTCTTCTTCTTCTTCTTCTTCTTCTTCTTCTTCTTCTTCTTCTTTCTTCTGCTGATGTTGGTGCTGCACTAGAATGTGTGGTGGTAACATTAGCTTGCTTGTTCATGTCGAGAATCAATAGCAGTGTGAACCTTTGCATCACAGAAAGGCACGTGTCATTGAAGGTTGGGATTTTAATAGTATTTTTATATAAAAATAAATTCTGAAAAGCAATCCATGTATTACAATTTGCTTGTGCGAAAGGATATAGCAGACATATGTTACCAAATGCCGATCCGTCGAAGAGAATTCTTTGAAAGAATAGTTGTTTGTCTCTTAGAATACACACATTAAGAAGAAGAGAAACAAACACACAAGCACTAGAAAGAAAAGAGAACTAAATAACTTCAGCTCTACACACATTAAGAAGAAGAAAAACAAACACACAAGCACTAGAAAGAAAAGAGAACTAAATAACTTCAGCTCTAGAGCTGAAGTTCGACAGTTACAAAACAAAAACTTCAGCTCTAGAGCTGAAGTTCGCTAGTTACAAAACAAAAACTTCAGTTCTCGCCAGTAACAAAAACAAAAACTTCAGCTCTAGAGCTGAAATTCGCCAGTTACAAAACAAAAACTTCGCCAGTTACAAAACAAAAACTTCAGCTCTAGAGCTGAAATTCGCCAGTTACAAAACAAAAACTTCGCCAGTTACAAAACAAAAACTTCAGCTCTAGAGCTGAAGTTCGCCAGTTACAAAATAAAAATTTCAACTCTAGAGCTGAACTTCAGGTCCGGCTACTAGAATGCTGAAGTTTTACGTGATTGTCTTTGCTACTTCAGCCCCGTATGCTGAAGTTATGCGAAAAAACAAGTACACTTGTAATTTTTTTTGCAAAGTGGGTATAAGTTAAAACGTGACACAAAAAACGGGTATAGATGCAAATGCCCCTTTTAGAGATCTGTAGGTTAACAAAAAATGTAGAGAAACTGTAATGTTAAAGAATGGCAAACTAATGAGTATTAGAAGGTTAAGAGTCCAAATAGAACGAAATGAATAATAATGATAATTCATATAGTCGACAATTGCTTTGAGACTCAAGTTTCTTTTTTTATTTTGCTGTACACTTTTGAAGATGGTAGAATAAAGCACATCATCTCTGAATTCATATAGTTAATTCTAACTTACTACGAATTGAGTATAATTATCACCTTGACCGAACAAAGATGATAAGGTTACGACATTGATGTTACCCCTTCGTAGTCTTTTACAAAGTTTCAAAGAAAAATGTCCGATTAATACAGAATATATANGAAAAATGTCCGATTGAAATGACATACCAGAGTAAGATAATGCAAAAGTAATATTATTACATATCAATTTTAAAGTTTTTGAGATTGATAGGCCATTGAAGGAGAGATTAGTGTGTGAAAGGAACTGAAACACAAAATAGGACAAACAAAACAAAACCATTAATAAGACTACATTCCTTCGGTTCATATGATCTGTATTTAAAATTGGAAAAATACGAGCTATGTCTATTTATCTATAATTTCTTTTTTATGTATTTCATCACTTTATTTGCTATCTCATCCACGAAATTTCTTTTCCATCTTATATCTAATGTTGCTAATTACGCTTAAAATTTTGGAAGGAGATATTTATGCGTGATTCTTGGAGAGAAAGAACCTCATTTAGATGTGTTTGACTTATTTTGGTAAATCTATGATTAGTGGCTAAAGTTGGTAAGTTAAAACTTTTTTGAGACATTTCTGTAAGATTCCCTTTAAAAATTTTATACACTGTACATTATTTACACTCTTAAGAAAGACATCTAACCTTAATCGTAAGTTTGTCTAAATCACCTTTCATATCTCTCTTAAACGTCTCACTTAATTACTATTCCATTATTAGAAGAGTAAAGATAGATTTGAAAAAAAAAAGTAAAAATTATTTTGTGATACGTCACATATTTTGAATAATCAATTTAACATATCAATATGACTAATATTTGGAATTGAAGGGAATAGTTACAACAATGGCTAACATAATACATTTGCCACTTCATGTATCGTCAACATCTACCAAAATGTGACCAACGTGCAATGTTATGCAGCTATGGCAGAGATTAGAATATCATGATTTGTATGAACAGATGAAACATTCACTAAGTTAAAACCCAGCAACTCCAAAAAAGCAATACATTGAGTCACAAACTCACATTTGTCAAGTTAGATATATTCTCGAACAGACAGATATCAGTTATGTCATTCTACAAACAGTATCTTCAATTTGAGTTTATACGAAATGATAGAATTGGTATACCCGCATTACAATTACACCCTCTCGACGATAAAGAATGAATTAGGCAAACATTATTACCCTGTTCCAATATACTCTGCAAGATCCTCCGTTATATTGGCGAATGGCGACTTTCACCCAAACCAAAAAAAGATGGGGCATTTGATGCAACAGTGTACCCGATGTTGATAAGGATTCTTCTCCTTTGTTCACCAGAACGGCAAAATCATGGTAGTGCACATGACCTGATAAACGGGTAAGCATCTGCACTTGAGATCAATCTGGATATAAGAACGAAAGATTCCAAGAGAATGAAATATTCAAGTGATAAGTTATCACGCACCTCATTAGCAATATAGAAACCCTCATCCAGATGAACGAAAAACTCAAGACAGATTATGTTATTCCTCTTCGGGTTGGAATTCAAGATCTAATTTCCTCTTTAAATGTGATCTGTCAGCGCTGTAGGTGAAAACAAGCTCAAGAGATTTATCATGATACCACATCAAAGTAGTTACAGGTCCATAGAGTGACTATTGACTAAACGATAACTTCCCACATCCAAAATCTTGACAACATTTGGTCGTGTCAGTATTAGCATTCATATAGTCATTCCCTAGCATAGGATCTTAAGAGCAATCATCTTAGTAGTGTTTACAAGACCTTATCATGACTATCATAGATATTACTATTTCTTTGACTACCACAGATAGTACTATTTATTTTTTCAGATATTACTATTCACTAGCAGTTAGCACACTGGGATATTTCCTTAAAAATAAATCCACCAAAATAACATCTGTTTTAGTTCGTTCTCCATTTTTCTGCAAAAACTTTATCTCCTTGGGGATAGCAGTAACCTGACCACTAGCTGAACACCCTTCCCTTCATTTTTTCCAGTTCTCCCCTGCAGATGTGGTTTTGAAAAACACAGGTCCCACTTATTGTGAACACAAAACCATGCAATGTATAGAAAATGCAAACAAAAAAAAAACCAAGACGTGCATATGGTATGATCGTGCATAAGTTTAACATATCAAGAAGGCCAGATACAACGCCAAAACATTATCTGCTTCAGTTACCCAATTTTTCTATTGAATGAACAATTTTTGCCGTACTAAAGAAAAAAAGAAACCAAAATAATATAAATTAAAAGATTCAAACTCTTAATCATGCATTAATAATGAAATACATCCCAGACTTATTTCCCTTCATGATTTCCATGATAATCAGCGTAAAGAAAGTGCTACAGTCCCTAGTTAGATGATCTAATAAGACACAGGCTAAAAGAAATCGTTTAATAATACGTTGAGAATCTATAAAACTTTATTTCTTGAGCCCCACCAGTGTATGAGTTCATAGGCAATGGATGATCGTCTGTGCATAACTATGTCAGTACTCTACTCCCCCCACCCCATAAACACCCCCCCCCAAACACCACAATTTTAGACCAACAGGATGACACCAACGGCATATTACCAAAATGAGATCAAGAACAATGCAAGTAGCCTAAATGGTTAGTAAAAGATATTGCAAAGCATATCAGCTATACCTGTTAATGGTCGGTCTAGTAGGTGGTCTCATCCCAAAGACTGAGAAATCCAGTGACATGGGTACCTGTTCACTCCTCTCACCGGCATTTCCATGGCCATCCATCTTCTCTGGACGCATATTTGCCTCAAATCCTTCGCGCTGTGGCATCACTCTCCTTGACTTTCTTGGTGGAGACAATACTACAGGACCATCATGTGGATTGAACTCTGAAACCCTAGGGTTTGCGGATTCCCGCTTGGGGGGAGGTCTTGGAAGCAGAGCTGGTTCTGTAGGTAGAGGTCCTGATGAGAAGTACCTAATGAAAAGGGAAAGTTCAGCACCCACATCAACTGCAAGTCCGCAGACTACACAAGATAAAGAAGAAACGTACCTATGCTCCAAAGCTTGCTGTGCTGATATTCTAGCTTTTGGGTCGTATGAGAACATCTTTGACAGAAGATCTAAAGCATCCTCAGTAGCCGTTGGAAACAATGTTTTCAGTGGCTGTCCAGGGACATATTGGTACTCCACATAATCAGGCAAGTAGACCATATCAGCCCACTGCGAAGGCTTTGGGGTCCCAAAAGCCGCAAAAATCTTTCCCAGCTGATCAATATCACTGTTTCCCTAACATAGGCGCAGATTACAGAACAAATTATTGGTTGAAGCAACAACATGCAGATAGGAATAGTAAAGGTAGTACGTAAGTATGACAGAAGTTCAAACAATTATTCCATCAAAAAAATCTGGAAAATGGTGCCAGCAGTAATTTCTTGGTGTATTTGGAAAGAAAGAAACCGAAGGTTTTTTATGGCATTTCAACTCCAATCTACTCTCTCAACGCTGCGTGTTTAGTTGGAACTATCTCACCCATGTTAACTGTGCTGATATTTTAGTGGATTTTATTAGCTCCCTGATAGTAGCATAGGCTTTTGTACTGGAGCTAATTATCCTCTCTCTTTTGTACTCTTTGCATCTTCTTGATGCCCTTTAATGAATCTAATTTACTTTATCAAAAAAAAAAAATAGTTCAAACAATTATTGGGAAATTGGAAGGAACTTATCGCACTAAAGGGATCACCATAGGAACAAGGAAAAAAAGCTCAGTCTGGTTCCTGTAAGCAATTTGCTTTTTAACTATTGCTTCATTGTCAACCGTCCAACTGCATGTGAAGCTCTCTAGAATAAAACTACAAGGGACAATTGGTTTACAGCTTATTGAAGATGAAGAAGAAAATATATACATGTCTAACAGTAAAAGATGCATATAAAAAGAGTGTTTCTCCCTGAATGGAGAAAGTTATTAACAAAGGTTATATTATTGAGAAAACAAGACAGTCCAAGTTCAGAGTTTAACATGAGAAACTATTCCTGAGAAGAGCATTTCCTACATAGTACTATACAGAACATCAAATAAACCAGGTAGCTTGAGTCATGGAAACTCATGATTGCATCGACCAATTTCATATAAAAGGACAAGGATAATTTGTGAGAGGGATTGCCATGACTAGACATTCACCTGCAGAAATGGTCGACGCAGGAGGAGCTCGGCAAAGATACATGCAGCGGCCCAAACATCTACTCCAGGTCCATACTGCTTTGCACCAAACAATAACTCTGGTGCTCTATACCACCGGGCAAAGACCTAACATTACCCATCAGATTAAAAAGTAAGTGCTCTTTACAGTAACAGTAAAAGAAGTAGAGACAGGGGGCAAATGAATCAGGATTCTACTGCTACATATGCACTAATTTGACAACATCTTGGTCCAATCTCAGCTGCTCAAAATTTGTCGTATGCATACCACAGTAGGACAATTCTTAATTCTCCAAAAACAAGGTCATACCATCAGTAATTTGCACAAACATTCTTGATTACTGTGGAATGAAATGTATAGACTAAATAAAGTACATACAAATTTCGTTGAACAGTAACAAAATTGTGTACTGTTCAACACTAACTATATAAAAAGATAGGAGTAACCATGTCAAGTTTGATCATCTTAGATATAGAAAGGCGCAGTATCGGATAATATCTCATTTTTCCATTACGCGTTTTGATAAAAGAACAAAAAAACTTTGGTAAAGAAAAAATCCTCCAAAGAAAGTCCAATTCCCAAAACAGATACCTCCATATTTGTTTAGACAAGTGGGAGAAACTGATAACTCCAGTTCTATAAGGAAAATATCAAAGGCAATTTTAGTGAGTGGGATCATTCCAGGTTATTTTAGGTTTGATAAAGTCATGTCATGAATTTCCACAAGGAGAACCATAATATGAAGACAAATTAAAAAACTGCAATGAAGTAGCAAGATAAAAAGTAACTTCTGACAGGATACATGCTCCAAGAGTTATACCTGGTGAGTGAATCTTCTATCAGGGCTACCAAATAGACGTGCTAATCCAAAGTCAGCAAGTTTAAGCTGCCCATTAGGTCCAATCAATAAATTGTTTGGTTTCATATCTCTGTCAGGAAGAAACAGCAAAAATTTAAGGAAGTTGAACACAAGTTGGAATCTAGTGAAAGCGAGAATATACAAACGCATACCTATGCAAGACATATTTCTTGTGACAAAAAGCAAGTCCTTTCAATGTCATCTGGATATAAGATTTTATATCCGCAGGTGAGAGGAAGATATTCCTATCACGAATCACAGCCTCAAGATCTGTCTCCATGAACTCAAACACAAGATGCAAGTTTCCTTTGTGAGGGAAGGCATCAATCAATTCAATAACGTGAGGATCCTTCAGCTCTTTCAATAATTTTATTTCCCTAAGGGCAGTGAAATTCACCCCTTCTTTCTGTTTCCCAAGACGAATTTTCTTGATAGCAACAGTCTGGCCACTCTGCAGAAAATGAAATTAAAGCTTACATCAGATAAATCATTAACAAGCCTCAATCCAAAACCATCTGGGGTCAACTATATTGAGTCCTTTATATTCATTCCCCCTTATTCAAGCCCATTTCATCCCAATACTTCCAATTAATTTGTCTATTAAGGCAAATTGACCACTCTCTTAAACTAGAGGTTCTCAAACTCTCACACTAATCATTACAGCTTAGAGGTTATGCCTTGTCGCGATTAAGTACTAAGTGAGCTCCAAAACCACCAGCATCCATCTAAGATCTAGCACTAACAGCATTTTTTTTGGGGGGGTGCTCAATTCAAAAGCTTACAAAGCTCAATTTAACATTCAACTTTGCACGAAAAAATTTAAATGAAAACAGATTCCAAAATTCATAGACATCAACAAGAACAGTCAATAAACTATGATTAATCTCAAACTAGTTGAGGTGTAATAGCTTGATTAATTTATGCTGAACGACACACTACAACAAACCCTCCAATTTTATGGGGACGGGAATTGAGACTCATTTCCGCACTCAGGACTAGCTATGCGAAGATTGGAGATAGAAACAACAAACACGACATTAATTATAGAATTCCTTCCGCACCCAAGGGTGTCGCCTAGTGGTCAATGAATTAGGTACAAACCTTCGAATCCAGGTTCAAATCCCAGCCGAGACAATAAAAAAACACTAAGTAACTTCTTCCATCTGCCTAAACTTTGGTGGACATAGTTACCCATATCTATACTGGTGGGAGGTAGGTCGAGTTGCATCTTACAAATTCTAGAATTATTGAACCCAAAGATGGAAAATGAAAAGCACAATCACACCCACGAGCTAGCACTAACAGCTTTTTCTATTTTAATTCAAAAACCTACAGAGCTTTCAATCAGTCAACATTAAAGAATGTTAAATTTCAAGGGAAAAACATCAACAATTCATAGAATTAACAATCAAACCATGAATGAAACAAAACCCTAGAAAATCTTCAAAACCAAATACTGCAAAAATGAAAAACGGAGAAAAACCCACAAGCGTTATAATAAGAAGTACCTTAGTATCAATGGCCTTGAAGACAACACCATAAGTACCTTCACCTAAAATTTCACGTTTTAGGTAACGATCTGCTACTTTTTTTGTCAATAAATTGTCTACTTCTGCCATTTTTACTTCTAATTTTTTATGTGTTTTGCATCTGTTTCAGTGGTGAACTGTTACTTTTATATAATAATCAGCTAATGGAGTATATAAACGACATACGATGAAATAGGCCTGAATTTTTATCGGATTTGTGAAATTGTTCACAAGGTGTTTGTTGTGTGTTTCAGTGAAGAAGAAAGAGGAAGAGGGAAAAAAGCAGGAGCGTATAACTCTGTTAGCGTTTCAATTTAGTGGAGATTTTCACTTTAATTTAAAAACACAAGTGTTAGTTTATTTATTTGTGTCTTCAGTCATTTCTTCTTTTTTCTTCTTCTTTTTTTTTTTTTTTTTTATTTATTAATAAAATATGGATAATATTATCCTACTTTAGGTCCCTGTTTCTTTTGTCCAGCTACCTTAGTCCCCGTTTGTGAGCATAAATCCAAGAATTAAATTTTATAAATTCAGAATATCAATAGCTAAAGTTATAAAGTTTAGCTGAAGTTGTATTTTATATGTTACATAGCCTTTGTTTGTGAAGAGTCTTTGTGATCTACTTTTGGACTGCTCGGGTAATAGTGAATACCATGTTAAGACTCCAGTCGTGAGAGTTTGTCCAAATTTCTTTAGCAGAACAGATTCAATTTCATGAGGAGCTAAATCATTTCCTTTCATTGTCGTTATGTAGGTGGTGATATGCTCATGAGGGTCTGAAGTTCCGTCATACTTCGGCACTTCAAGCGTTTTGAACCACTTCGGGATTAGCTCTGGCAACGCACGTGGCTTGTATGGCAATTGAGTATACTATTTTGAGTCCAGACCTTTCATTAATGGTGGCGCGCCTGAAATTTGATCCATGCGGACGTTCACTTCCCTCATAAACCATAAAAGTTCATTCTTAAAAGGATCGTTCTCGTTATTGAGGCTGGATCCGCTCCCCCTAGCCCCAACGAAGCCAACTTCACCCCAGGAGTGTTGTCGACCCTTTGTGTTGTTTGATTCACTGGAGCACCGGGAGGAATTGGATCTCGTCAGTTTGTGTTATTCGAAGCCTCCAACAATGCCTGCTTGAACTCCGTCATAACTTTATCTTGTCGCGTGAGGTGGCCTAGAATGATCGCCTGTTGCTCTTGCAAGACCCTTACCGCATCAACGACATGTTCCTCATCAGCATCATCGGGAGTTTTCTACGGAACATGTCGAGGATATTACATGTCATGCACCGGTGTGGCGGCATTCACCTCATTGTGGGTGTCAGTGATTGAGTCCTCGAAATAAGGTCGATCTCCTCGAATCTCGGGGTTGTGCGTGTTGTTAATAATGCTATCTGCCATTTCTTATGATTTTTTCTACGACAAAATAATCAAAACACGTTAGTAAAAAAGTCAAAGATCAATTTAAGTGCACGGCTGTCTAGGCTCTATGGTGGGCGCCAAACTGTTTACCCGTAAAATGGCACGGTTGAATTTATACATGGTTTCTAGACAAGTGAATTAATTTGATCCTGAAATAATAAAATAATCAAAGAATTATGCAATACTTAGCCTTAGGATGTAGATGAAATAGCAGAAGCAACAGTTTTGGGAACAGGGTTTCCGGGTACAACAACAACGAAATCAAAAAGCAAGAAGATAAGATTGTATTAAGCTTTGTATATCATGTAGCATAAGTTTGCCAGAAAATTCGTGTCTTTTACAATGATAACTGAGCTCACTATTTATAGCTACATCTAGGGGAGGAGGTCCTAGGATCATGCACCTCTTTATTGTTAATTATGAAGGTCATTGATGAAAATGTAACGGTGAATATAAATGTCAAATTCCATGTAACTGGCAATCACCCTTAATGCCAGAGAATATTCTCTATTAAATACTACCGGGCGAAGAGTATTTATTACATCTTTATGGAAATGATAAATGGAACAGTTGCCTTCGGTCTTGGCCATCTCTGCGTCTTGGATTCCATGTGTCCCTCTTTTGGATGGTCACGTATCATAGCATATTTTACCCTATACACATGGGTGACATCATTTTTATGTAATAACGTTATCTTATGTAATTTTTACAAATCTCAAGATTATAGATGTAATTTACATAATGTTATAAAGGTACTCACTATGCAAATTGGAATAATTAACTTAGCATTATATAGGAACTGAAGAATTCAAAGATATAAGGGCAAGAATAGAAAATAGCCCTGCAACTCCAACTACTCTAATTTCTCTATATCCCTAATCTTTTTCTTACCCTTGCCACTCACCAGCCATTTTCCTTTACATAAACAATATCCCTTTAATTTTGTGCTAGTAATATAATGTCTATCTTCTGGATGATAAAAGAAGGAACCTTGACGTAATTGGTAAAGTTGTTGCTATGTGACCAGGTAGTTACGAGTTTGAGCTGTAGAAACAACCTCTTATAAATATGCAGGGTAATTAAGGTGGCGACCCTTGTGGTTCGACCTTCCCCGGACCCCGTACATAGCAAGAACTTACTGCACCGGGTTATCCCTTCTTCTAGATGATAAAAGATCATCTCTTCTAGAGTTGCTGAAGATCAACGTCTGAGGATGACTTTCTTTTATACGTTATTTTTGCACGTTAATGGATCTAAAGGTTCGTTGTGTTTTATTTTCTCATGATTTAAAGTCTCGTGAGTTTGATGATTAATTTTTATACCACAAATTTTTCTTGATTGCATTTGTTCCATAGGTTTTCAATCTTTTTAACTATCCACTTTCTTTCTAAGGTCAAGAAGAAAGTTCGAGGGCTCTTAATTTTTTGCTGTCTTAGGCCTGAGATGAGGTGAGAATTGGGTTTATTTACTTATATTTTTATTTATTTCAGACACAATTGTTTACTCTCCATTTGTCTTCTGTCTGTATCTAATCTCCTTTACCAAGCCTAGATAAAGGAGAATTGCAGTAGGTTAAATTGAGCGGCATAAACAGTAATAATTTATATAACCGTCTTCAACTTATTTGAGACTGAGACATAATAAACAGATTTTGAGCTACAAATAAGACTGTTTGAGTTTTGGCTTTTGCTTTTTTCAAAAAGAAAAAGCTCACTTCACCAATTTCTCGCCATTTAAATTTCATGAATTCAATCTTTAAGCTTTTAAACATTAAATTTATTTTACTTTCAAAAATATATTTACTAAAATTTTAGTAATTTTTCACGTATATATTTATGTTTCGTTATTTACGCTAAAAATGTTGAATTTAGAATCCATGGGACAAAAGTCGGACCACATCAAGTCTATTGTATACATTACATTTGTATAAGAGATTATACTTGAACACCTAATACAAATTAAAATGAAGGTAGACCCATTTTGAACTGTCCATTTTTCCCATTATACAAGACTAGTGTGTAGAAAATTTGTACAGCAAGCTCATTAATTTTCTTAATATTCGTTTATAAATTTAGCTTAATGCAGCCATATTTAGACGTGGATATGGCAAGAAGCTAAAATATCATAGATATATTAACTTCTTTTATCAACTTACTTGTCTCGATTATCAAAAACCGAAAATACAAATTAACAAGAGTCAAGAGAAAACTCTCAATATATATGGGGAACGAATTGAAGTTCTAGAATGGAAGTCTAAGTCTATACTGTCAAAATAGAGCTTGCCTAATTTTGTGCGACTAACCGAAATCGGGACGGAAGATCACGGCCTGACCCTAGTTATATCAGAACATGGTACGGAGCTGGACTGGTGAGCTCGTGGTTCAATGGCCGATCAAAATCGAGGCCAGCCATGATCGAGACCGAAGCAAACAGGAGATCAAGCAAGATCGAAAGAGGCCTGCTATGTCGAATAACAGAAAGCTGAGATATCCGTGATCGGACGAGGATCGTGGCGGAAATCTCGGCACATATCGAGTCAGGATCGGATATTTAGCCTATCATGAGATTTACTTCTGTAATTAGAATTATACCATAAATATGATTCATCTACTATACAAAGAGGGTCTTAACCATTTTGTAACCATCATACATTCAAGCATAACAAGGCAATATATTATATTTTTTCTTGCAAGCTCTGTTGTTCAAGTTCATATTTTTTAATAACATACTCAGTTGGTTCGAGTGCAGTCTAGCTCGAGGGTCACCGTTGTTCATCACATTGGTTTGCTTTATTTTACTGTTAATTCCTAGCATTAATTCTTATATTTATTAGTTTGTGCCAAGTGAAATCACATATCCTTAAAACCACTTATAAGTTTAACTGTTATCCGATTTTAAGGATAAACACTAAGGTATAGGTATCGAGTTATTCAGTTTTATAACCAAATTGATCACCCAAAATTGGTTAATTAGATTTCCTTTTACAATTTGTGTGTCTTTTAGGTTTATAATCAATTGTTGAAACTACAAATAAACTTTTCCTCAAAGTTGTAGAAATTAATTATCATACACTTGCCACTCAAAAACAATATTGTCACATTTTTTCAAAGAATAGAATCAATTTTTGATAATTCTAAATCAATATATGAACAAGAAAGATTTTAAAGATATCATTGTGAATTTGTGATTGATTTTTTTTTTCCGTCTTAAATTGAAGATGGAACAATTGTAATATGCACTCGTGGGGTAACAGTATCACGCTCGAAATAATAGGTCTCTGAGAATAATTATATATATCTAATTTTGAATATTAATTAACAACTGACTCTATAATTATCTAACCCACAAAATTAAGATATATCCCGTGCTTAAGTGATCCACACTAATCCGTATTAACTGATCTTGTTTAGACTCTAATTTTTTCGTACTATATGTTAATGATTAGTTAATCTCCTTACACTCCTATGCCCAAAGACAATTTCTCAAACATACACTACTGTATAGACTTTGTAATTATGCCCCTCCAACAATATTTAACAAACATTACATTTTGCTAAAAATAAAAATTTTAGAGTGTCTTTGAGCAGATACAGACTATTCAACATTTGTAGGCTTGAGAGCATACCTAACATTAGGGAGCTCTTCACCCTTAAATACGCCTTAAATAAGTCGGACTTTAATACGGATATTAAAGACTGGGTGGGTGAACCCAACCAAAAAGGAAAAAAACAAAAACAAAAACAAAAAAGAGTACAAATTTTTAATTCCCCGTGTCTCCACAGTTCTTCATCTCCCAAATTATTACTCAATCCGTCTCAAATTATATGTCGTATTTCTCTTTTACATTGCCCTTAAGAATTACTAATTAGAAGGTTTTTTTATTATTTTATTTTATTTATGTCTTAAGATATAATATTTT